AGAGTTGGAAACCCTGTGGAGCTGTTCTATTCTGTCCTATAGGGTCAGTATTAGTAGAAATTGACTTGATGGAAATGGAGGGTTTTTTTTTGGTAATTCTGACACACATTCAAACTTGAGTACCATGGAGTTACAGGGTCTTTCATGGAAGGGCCTGAGACCAGGAGCTCAAGTACATGATGCCCAGGCATCTGACATCTGGGCCATGATGTGATCAGAACATCTCACCCCATTTAGAGTTCTCACAGTTTATTTCTTTAGGAGCCAGGTGTCCTCTTCAAGTTGACTGTGTATTCTATCCTGTAAATTGCATCTCTCCATCTTTCTCATTCCCATGTCTGTATCCACAGAGAAGTTCCTGGTGATTGGCCCCATGGACCCCATTGTGGCAGTGCTGGGTGGGGACATCACACTGCCCTGCTCCCTGTCTCCTACCATGAATGCAGAGAACATGGAGCTGCGATGGTTCCGGTCCAACTTCTCAGAAGCGGTGTTCATCTATGAGAACCAGCAGGAGCAGAAGGAGAAGCAGATGTCACAGTATAAAGGACGGACCTTGCTGGTGAGAGACTTCCTCACTCAGGGGAAGGCTGCTGTACGCATCAACAAGGTTCGGATTTCTGATGATGGGCTGTATACCTGCTTCTTCAAGAGTGGAGATTTCTATGAAGAGGCCCCTTTGGTAGTGAAGGTGGCAGGTTTGTGATTTGTCTATATATTGCAGAATCCTGGAGGGTTGGAGTTGGGAACATCCTTACGGATAATTTAATTCAGTCCCTCATTTTATAGATACAGAAAAGGAGACTCATTCATTCTTTTATTTAGTGTAAATGATAGACAGCTGCTAATCTGTGTGGCGCTATGGGATAAAGCACTGAACCACAAGGTCATTCGAATAACCAGGTTGGCAGTTCAAACTCACCAACCATTCCTCAGAAACCCTACACTTGGGTGGCTATGAGTTGGAACCGACTCAATGGCACTTGACAACAACAACAACAACAATCTGTGCCAGAGCCTGTTGTAGGTGCCTGGGACATGTCAGTGAACCAAAAGAGATCCTTGTTGTGTAGAGCTCATATTCTAAATGCAGAGACAGAGAAATCACAATAAATAAATAGGTGATAGATGATATTAGAAGATAATAAGTTCTGAGGATAAAAGGGAAAGTAGAACAGGGATATGGGATCAGGATATGGGGATGAGGATTGAGGAATGGGGACTGGGCTGGGCCTTACTGAGAACGTGCTGTCTGAGCAAAGGCTTGACAAAAGTAGTGATTTAGCAAAATGATGTGGGGGATGAGAATTCTAAGCAGAAGGAAGAGTTAGTGAAAACTCTAAGGTGGGAGTGTGGCTGTTGTGTTCTGGGCGCACAGTGAGGCCTTAATGAGACTTGTGGAAATGAATGAGGTGCCAGTACTGGACAAAACAGTGTTCCTGGTGCAGATTGCAGAGGAACACAGATACTGAAGTGTCACTTGAGTTCAAACGGCAAGCTTCCAAACAACCCTCAAAGTTGAGGGAACTGAACTTGAAAAGGCTTGGGGCACACAGAGCACAGTGTGCTTAATAACAATGAACCAGTTAGCTCTTGGTGCTAGAGTAGGT